GCTCTTTGAATAATTCGTCGAGACGCACGTCATAAAAAATCATTTTATGACAGAACAATCCATATGTAAAAGAATAATTTATTTCTTATTATTTATTATTAATAGCGTTCCTTTACTTCATAAGAGTGACACAACTAAAAGATTAATTTCCTAGAAAAGGGGAACATTATTTTTCACTCCGACAGAAAATTATTGATTAATCAAATATTGACAAGAAAAATATTATATTTTTAATGTAATCAAATGTCATTTTTGCCATTTTTATTTCATAACCTTCAAAAAATTATCCTGTGATAATTTATGAATTTTTCAACCACCTTCTGTTTGTTATTAAATTTTACTTTACAAATAAATTTTAATTTAAATCTATTTGTTCATATTATTTGTAAGGTTTGCACTTGATATTCATTTGTTCCCTTTCATTTCTTTTTATCTTCATTCATTTTCTTTTTATCCCTTTTAAATTGACGTTTTGATGAATTTAATTGATGAATTTGATATAATAATTGATGAGTTTGATGAATTTGCTATAAAGTTAGTCTTTTTATGAATTCTAATATAAGATAATATTTATCTAATTCATTCAACTAAAAAATTAATTTTTTTTTAATTGTGTCACTTTTAAAAAGAGCGATATAATTTTTATTTATTTATAATTATCATTTCTTTATTATCATCATATGATGGATTATAAAACATAGCTAATATTATTTTAGTTAACATTTGATTCTTTTCTTGCTAAAAGATTCCTGTTCAGTAATCCAATATTTATGTATCGCTGTATCGTTTTACCAAACAAATTTCATCATATTAATTTATCATCATCGTATCATATCGTAGATATGTAGAGGGAGAGTAGGGAGAATAAAATAGAAGGGCACAGTAATCTAAATAAAATTAAAACGTATAAAATTAATGTTGGAAAACCGTTCCACTCCAAACTGACATTTATCTCAATATCGGATTTCATTGGGACAAAATTATCCGATATGACATGTAACATCGAGCTGCATACTCTCATTCGACACGACCTAACTCCAAGACCCGATTAAGCGATTGAACTCGATAACATGTAAATACGTTTGCCCAAATTACACGGTAATCCGTCCATCACGAATCTAGGTCAAACCTGGGCAACCATGTGCGAGCCAAATCGAAACTCAAGTGATTTACAATAGTAGTATAAGGGATATTCCGCCGATCAAATATCTTTAATCGAAATATTATAAACACGTGTTGCATCATGAAATTCATCATTAAAATTGTTACCAAATTATAGTACTCAAACTAGAACTCGAGTTTGAGGTTGAATTTGACCAATCAAAGCAAATATCACTGAATCACTCAACGTTGATTTTCTTTCTCTTGATTGGTTAATTTCGATCTCGATCTCTAGTCTGATACAGGCATAAAACGCGAATCATGAAATTGCAACTTATCCACAAGACATATCTTTTTTATTTATCTCCCGTGATGTATTTTCATTCTTTAAATTTTTTAAATTAATTCTTATTAATTTTTTGCTTAATTTTTTTCCCAAGAAAACCAGTTCAGTTGCGTTCGAGCGAAACGAAGTTTCGAATGTCGTTGTAACCTGCGAAACTGGATGTGAGAAAGAAGATACAACGATGAATAATGACAAGAGATTAATTCTGTTTGAACAGACACTGAGGGAGAGAGAAAGAAGGGGAGGGAGAGGGGAGAAAGAGAGAAAAGAAGGTATGCGAAAAGGCAATGTCTCCTTTTTCGCATTCGCCCAATTATGGAAGCGCTCGAGCGACATTGTAAGAAGGATCCCTGGCGCTACCGTGAATAAAAGGCATTTCTTTGCGAGAACTTAGTCCACGACCATCGATCCTCTAAGGACATTTAACCTTGTTCATCATTCTAGATATACACAGAGAATTTTGAAAGAATGTTTCTTCTCAAACGATTTGCTCGAATAGTACGATACTTGAGAATAAGTGGCATGTATTTTAATGAGTCGCTTGAAAAAGGATGTTCCTTTCTCAAATCCTTCATATTTTTCAAGAATAAAAAAATAAAACATCCAACATGACATTGAGTATAGAACCGTAGAATCGTATGAATTGATAAGATTGTATAAGGTTACATAAAAATCTATTATTATCTTCTCTCGCGGAGAAAATCTATTTAAAAAGGGGGTGACATTTGCCATTTTGACATAAAGTCCTTAAAATAAATGGTTTCCGAGGGACATTTAAGACTCAGGTATAAATAAGACGAACTCATCGTTCTATTAATTAGACGAGGAATTTCCACAAAGTCCTAATTTCAGCAGATATCCAGTATGCATAATTTGGCAACATTTGTTTCATTCCTGCATAAAATGCAACACTCTTCTTCCTCTTTCTCCTTGTTTTCTCTTTCTCTTAGTTTTATTTTATTACATTAAAACTAATCCTATAATACAAAAGGATATTTAACAATATTGAGATCGAAAGATTTTATCTCAAACTTATATTTTCTATTTGAAACTTCCTTTTCTATCTATTCTGATTTGCGAAGGCAACGAATCCCTTGTGGATTCGGCAAGAAGATTACAACGTGTCTCCTGGATTTTTCGTTAATCCCTCTTTGGCCACTCTCTTGCGCCTTAGAATTCCCGTGCTAATCCGGGGCGGTATAACGTGACTTTCGTCGAGTTTCTCCGCCGATAGAGAAGCCAAGGCGGACTGCGAGAGAGAGAGAGAGAGAGAGAGAGAGAGAGAGAAAGAGAGAGAGAGGACGAGGAGTATCCGTCGGTCGGGAGGAATAAGTTAAACGCCTTCGTGTATATATAGGGGCAATGCGCGGGGCGCCGCGGGATGAATAATAATGAGGGACATCCAGGGGTGCGGGGAACACCTTGTCGGGCGTCTTTTCGTAAAAAGGCCGTTAAGGTGCTACCTTAACGATCCCCTGGGCCCCACGCCGCCGTCCCCAGATCCTCGGAACGAAGGAGGGGAAAGAGGGGGGGGAGAAGGGGGATCGCAGGGCCCACACGTGGAATGCAGACACGTAATGCCCGCAGAATGCGCCCGGGCCGCCGACCGCCGGGAATTATTAGTGGATTCGTGAGAGAGATCCCCTGAATGCAACGGGTTGGAGCAGGTCTATACATGCGCGCCGGCATCGGTCCGTATGTACACGCACGGGGCCAGAGAGGGGCAGGGGAGAGGGAGGGAGGAGGGGAGGAAGGGGGCACACAGACACGAACAGGTACGAAGCCGGGGACCTGCCGCCAGGTCCCACGACGGGCCCTGGACCCCCTCCCACCCCCGTCCCTCCCCCAATTCGGGCCGTGCAAACCTTTGTTCGCGATTCGACGAGTCCGAAAATCGATGCAGGATAAGACTCTCTCGCGTGATTAGGAGAATATTCGGTATATCCTCCGAAGGATATGACGAAGCGAGAGGCATGGTCGAGCTGTACGGCGAATCAAAGGGAACCGAAGGAAAAGTTTGACGCGCTTAAGTTTCGTTTTTGCCGGCTTGATCCGGATCTATCTTTACTTTGAAACAAGGCGAGCTGCAGAACTGTCGGTTAGTTAAGACGAAATGAGAAGTAATCGGGGAATCGATTTTCGACGATCGCGCGGAAAGAAGAACCGCAGAGACGACGAGGAATCTGGATTTTAAACGAAACGAAGGAGGAGTCGATTCCGCCGTCG